ACCTCTTCTTAAACGAAGAGATCCGGATACATCGTAACAAAACACTAAACTAAGCATGTGTAGAAAATATTTTTTAGAAAATTGTGTCACTTACTTTTTCTGGAACGTCAGCACAGAATTATTATAAATATCAGACAAATCAATAGTTTTCCCAAATTTCTTTACTGCAGGGTGTTTTTTCGTTATGAGCCACCCCAAATGCGAAAAGAAAAAACCTCTAGTTGCATTATGGGGATCGGCATCTGTATCAGTGTACTTATGATGGAGTCTGTGATTTCTGACCCAGTCAATTACGGTATTTTGGAATCCTATTGAATTAAAGAAGATCAGGATTATTTCCAATGGCAATTTGGCTTTGTATGACCGATGAGACCAAAGTCTGTGCGCACCTGCAGTGATGCCTATTTGACCCAAAACGTAGAAGATAAAACCTGCAACAAATAAAAAATATACAATTTTAATTCGTACTTGGAAACTGGGCAGACAGGTAATGTAAGAATCGACTTATGCGAACACTATAGCCCACTCCCACCGCAAGCATAGTTGGCACGAGCAATGCTGCAGTCGAGAACTTCAAAAGGCTCAAATATGCTAATTTCTGTTATTCTACCTATTGCAGTGGAGACCATAGCACTCCATACCGTGTTTCCAGTGCACCTCGTTGAAACCTTTCGCGACCTAAGGGTTATCAACTACTTCCCTCAAAGAAAAAACTTTGCCACGAAAAAAGGGAAACTGGTTACAATGACCCTGAGCTTGATGAAACTCGATGTGTTAACGCTAAAGACTTTCTGTTTCTTTTTCCTTCTTTCTATATTTATTTAATGCCATGTAAATGTTAATTGAACGTAATGATTTATTAATGCTATTTTTTGGTGCCAAATAAAGTAAACTTATTGAACTTATATTTTGCAGGTTAAATAATCACGTCGTTTAACATTGAAGGAAAATCATTACGAAAACAACTGAACGCTGTAAAAGATTCACAAACTACTGGAGACATATGTCACTCAACACTACAAAACGTGCACTAGACACACGACCTTTATTGTAATAGAATATATTCCTGTATATATATGACCAGCTTTCTAATGATGTCAAAAGGCTTAAGATGTAATGAACTTCACGACTGTACGAACACAAGTATTTGAAGAGTTTTTACATGCCAGTGTAATCAAAGATTATGTACGAAAGTACTTACAATTCAAGACGGAAACCCATTTCGCTGAAGCGAAACACAAGTACAGCCCATATAAACCAGCTATATGCCAGTATAAGAACGTAAGAATGTTGAAGTATAATATTTTGTATTCCCTTTTGTCCGCTTGAGGTGCGACAAATTTTTCAAACATTTCATCTTTGGACAAAGAGTCCTCTTGTTCTGTTTGCGGTGCCATCTGTTGTGGGGAAAAACGAATTTGACTTGTAATAAAAAAACTTACAAACATCGCGTGTCTAATGATGAAGCTAACTTATTAAATTGTATACTTGACCACTTTCTTTATGTAGTCAACAAGGAAATGTCTTTCGCTAAATCAAATGGTAGTTTTCTAGTATAAGATTACATAATAATTTCTTTTTACATAGTTAAGAGGATATTTCGTTAGAGGTAAATAATTTTGAAATAGCTCAGGCGTTAAAGGCGGCAGTGAACTTTGTTCCTTTCCGTTCTGACGGGTTTACCCATAAACCAAATAAAAATAATTTAGAACAAATATATTGGTGACACTCACCTTAACTCCCTTGCATCTGTGAATTGGCGATCTAATAACTCGTTGACAATGACGTTATTGGCGGCGAATGAATTTGAGATGGTATAGAAAAATAATTAAGTAACAGACGCGATATAATTCCAATTGTTTATTGGTTATTTTTTATACATGAGCATATGCCAATACGGAAGAAGACCAGAGGATGCCTCACAATCTTTTCCCAATAATAGTTTAAATGTTTTCGTCGGCTTAAGCAAATTTTGTTTCTTATAATTTAAAAATTTGATGTTAAAGAATATTTCCTATTGTCAACGACAACTTCTCGAAAATTGACCACCAGCGGGTGTTATAAGGTGAAATGGACTACGCTTACAAAGTTAATGCCAGTTCTTATAATGTCCCGTAGATATAAATCTTAATGTTGTAAAAGGTTTGTTTTGAAAAAGCAAATGGGATTTAAAGTGGTTTGTGAAACACACCTTTGCAAAGCTTATCGATCGTCACATCAACAAATAAATAAGTTTAAGTACACTAATCGTCGTAAGGCGGTGTTTCTTTGTGACGGTGTGACTTCCTTACATCGTCATCCCACCGTTTTGACGCCTTCCACCGGTTCCTGGCCACTCGTATTTAAATTGAAATTTGAATTTTCATAATTCTTTTGCCTCGCATTCTGATTTTGTTTCGTTCCACCGTCACTCCCTGCTCGATCGCGACAGCGTATGGAGCTGTTTAAATTCAATCGCGTCTAATTTTGATTCCTTTACTAAGTTTATAATCATTAGTGATCTAAATCATGTGCCAATCTTCATAACTTTATAACCACTACAACCTTTTTCATGTACCTATGATCACGTATCTGTAATTCAGTATCTCGGCCCTTTTGAGGTAAGTGTACTTAATATCTTTCTATTCATCGTTAGGAAGTGTTTTGTAATAATGTACCTGTTTTCTATATATGCCTTTTATTGTTACAGCCTCTTTGTTACCTTTTCTTCTCTTTAACCGACTTTAAATAAATTTGTGGACCTGAAGTTTTCTGTTGTTGTTACTCATATGAACCTGGTCACGACTTGTTAGGGCTACAACCCTTTCATCTTTTTGCCAAAAAATTCGATCATGCAAAGGTTATCAATTTTGTTATGGAAGCGCGCTCTCTCTATACGGAAAAGGTTGGGTTGACGGTTACGTTAATAATTATAATTTTGTTATAGAAAAAAACGAAACTCAAAAGTTTCTGGAATTACATTTTGCGAAGGTTTATTGAAATCTGCCTCCGTGGCCGAACGGTTACTATGCTGGACTGCCACGCAGAGGTTCCGGGTTCAATTTCCAGGCCGGGAGAAATATTCGTATGGCCTGCATTTAATTATCCCGTGAGTTTGGATGTAATTTGTGGTTGTTTTGTCTATAAGGGTCTCCTTAGCACCCGCGCGCGATACAGGGTTTCCCTAGTGCGGGGCTAAAGTGTGTGCGTTAAAAAAATCCGTTAACGGCAAGTGAGTGAAATCCAATAATCCTGATTCGTCCCATAACTTACCACCCTTACAGATGGAATATTTTCTCCAAATTTGATCATTTCCAACAAAAAAAGAATCATCGAAATCGGTTAAGAAATATCGGAGTAATCGCGTAACATACACATAAAAAATACAGTCGAGCTGCGAGCCTCCGTCTTTTTTGAAGTCGGTTAAAAAGACATTTACATATCCGTAAAACTTTATGAACGGTCGATAAAAGTAATAAAAAATATTAAAATACTAAAATATTAAAGTACATTTTATTATTTTATTTAAGTACATACGTACATAGATTTTCGCTAACTTGAAGTTGTGAAACCATAACAAATAATAACAAACTTTTTAATATTATACCAAAAATCGATATTCGATAACGCAGCGAGTCGAGAATGTATGGTGGGTGGCTAGCGGAAGCTTCGGACTTGCCCGCTATTGACTCTGCCTACGGCTACGGCACTTAAAAAAATTAAAAAATGGCAAAAATGTAGTTTGACCACAAATTATTGTCAGGCCATCCTATATATCTTTTTGTGCCAATTTTCATCCCGAGCAAATAAATTTTTTCAACAGCTAATTATATAATTATCGACAAAAGAACGCTTGTACTGTACGGCGGCTACATCGAAAAACAGCGGAAATGAAAATTTTACCCCAAATTATGATTGAAGCCATACAATTTTCAGTCGAATTAAAGCAAATTTTTATCTACCACCAAAAAAAAGTTTGTATGGCAGCCATGTTGCAAAATGACGAAAACCAAATTTTAACCGCAAATTATTATTAAACACCCATAGAGACCCCACAACCCGATTTTCAGTCGAATTAGAGCAAATTGTTACCTGCCGCCAAAAAGTTTGTAGGACAGCCATATTGAAAAACGCGAAAAATATACTAAAGTATATCGAGTTCTTAGGTTTTCGCGATTGTTATACATAGGAATGAAACTATTTTTCCGGATTTAAATCGCGTATATTTGTTTTTTCAAACAAACCGACGTTTCGGGCCCTTTACAGGTCCCATGGTCACGGTTGACTGAGTTGAGTCAATCGTCGTCGGTTTGTTTGAAAAAACAAATATACGCGATTTAAATCCGGAAAAATAGTTTCATTCCTATACTAAAGTATATTACGGATAAAACTGTAAATTATGATCAAACACCCCTCAGATTACAAAAACACCCATAGAGACCCCCAGAAAGGTAGACAGCGGCTTATTGAATAGTATGGCGAAAAATACATGCGCACCTACTTCTTTTATAAAAAAAAACCATATCAAAAACATTAGAATAAATTCGTGCTTACAATGGGAGGTATAATCCACAATGTGTTACTACATATAGGGATAATCCATAATGTGTTACTACACATTGTAAGCACGAATTTATTGTAATGTTTTTGATTATTATCTTTGATATTCACCTACAGCAATTGACGAAATCTCTTATGTCTGAAGACTTAATATATGAAAGATTTTAGTAATGAGTTTTTAATAACTGGGTAAACATAGTAAGGGGTACTAATCTATCTATGACATATCATGAACTTAAACTTGCGTTTATAGCGGTATTAGCGCAATTCTAACATTGAGATTGCTAGTTAGGATGACATTTCAGAGTCAATATTGCAATTTATTTCATCCGTTTGTATAATAGTTTACGTGAGCTCATAGATCGATTACTTATCAATAACGTACAGTTTCGTGTATTGCAATAAACTTATCGACTGTCCTTATTTTTTGTGTACCGCCCCCTCTTTGCCATTAGACGTTCCGTTCGGCGAAAAGAACGATCGACATTCTCACATTGCCTTTGCGCAGCAGGCATGGCGCACGTTAGCCCCGTATTCCTCTTTATAACATGTGAGTACATTTTTTATTCATATATTTTACACAACCGTTTTTAGCCAGTGTTATGTATCTTTCCAGTGTTTGTATTTTTATATTTATGAATTCATAGTGATTAGTGCCCGTTAGGTCTGCGAGGTAGGTGTTATTTGTATACAAAGGTTTTATATTCCAGTGTTGTTAATGAATACGTAAGTAGACGTCTGTACACATACTATATTAGGTAAGTTATGTTGTGTAACTTGCTTAATACAGCTTATTGTAAATAACTATAATGTGAATAGTATACTGATGAATTTGATATACATACCTAATTTATTATAACTTTTAATAGCGCTTTAGTGTCTATTTGGTAATTCACTTATAAATTTTGGCAGGATTTTATATAAGTTTACTATAACGTGTACTTATTATCATTTACTGAGAAAATTACGCTAAGATGAAAAATAAATATTAAATAGCGATCTTTGGTATGAATTTACAACGTCAAAAAATTATAGGTTTGCACGGCATATTACTACTTACGTACAAAATGTTATCTAATCAAAATAGTACTTCCCTCCATTGTAACACATTTTGCATTTTGGTAACTTTTGACTTTTTTGGCGACTTTTAGCAGCGACTTTTAACGCGCGTATGTAAAACAGTCGCGCGCTTGCATCGCGTTTGCATCACTGCTTGAAATCGCGCGCGTGTGTAAAGGTAGACGATTAGCGACTGCATCGCATTTACATCGCTGCTAGAAGTCGCTATGTGTAACCGCTCTTAGGCGTGAAACACACAGGACGACAATACACGCGTTCGGTGTATTGTCATCCATATAAATACACGGAATTAGATCCGCCACCGCGGTCCTGACCCGACCCGCGCCCGTCCAGCACCTGCTCTTTATATGTTTCACGCTTTAAAGTTATTTTTCCTTTAAAAAATATCAACTGCCTACGCTGATTTTGCTTAACAATACAACTGAAACTAAACAAGATATAAAAAACCGCTTACAGGGAGTTGCAAATCTCGTTTTGTTGTTTCCAGATATGTTAATAACTCGATTTCGCTAAAAATTTTGATTACGTTAGGTTATGAAAGTTATGGATAAAGACAGTGTTGAGACTTTAGTAGATCATTGATCAAAACATGAAGTATTTTTAAGGCATATTATGTGTAGTGATGAACAGTAACAATGCTATAAAAAGAACCTTGCAAATCGATATCAATGTGAGACTTATGAAAACTTTCATAAGTCTCACATTGATATAGATTTGCAATCCGTATTGATGACCTCGGTTGCGCAACTGTTTGCATTGTGGCGTTGGAAAAGGAGGTCCCGGGCTTAATTTCCGATTGGTACCAGTACGATAAATATTTCTTTTTTCAAATTGGTTCTGGTCTGGATGTTCTGGATAGTGCTCTAAAGTCAATTTGGTACTCTATAAATGTTATTTTTATTAAAGGAAGTGTAGAGTTTTTAATGATTTCTAGAAAACAAAGTTTTTAAATAATAATTATTGGAAAATTATTTATATTAGATAGAAACTTCGTTGTGATTACGTAGGTCAGATAAATCATTTTTCACTTTCCTCACTAGATATAGCCTCTATATGCTTTGAGTGAGTAAAGTCACATATCAAGCAATAATATAAAGAGTCCGCTTTTAAATTAGAATTTTATATTTATAAGACGTAAGATACAATTTTCAACAAACAATAGTTTTAGTTTATTTAACCTTAGCTGAGACCCGCTGTGCGACACTTGGGTATTTAAGTATGATATACACGTTCCACTGACGTATTTTAGTTGCAAAGCGAGTGTTCACATTTAAATTACGACGTAGCTTTGCAATTCTGCATGGCTTCTGTACCTATGAAATACATTTTTCCGGATAAACATGTTTGTGCCTATCTTAACCACCATGTTTCTAACAATAATTAGAAAAAAAGAACCACATCAATTATATACACCACGTCGACCTATGAGTCGACCTATGAGCCTTCTGGTTATTATAGAAAAACTTCGAAAAACAATTTGTTTTGGATAAACAAAAAATACTATCCAGTGTTATATTTTAAATATTTTCATTCTTATAAGTAAACACTAAGTTTAAAAGAGGCAGAATGTCTTGTAGTATTGCATAATTCAATTTAGTAGCAGTAGAGCTCCTTGTGAAAGAGTTCATCCAGGGTTGTAGTACTGCCACCTTACCTATTTGTACTGCCAAGCGGTAATGTGAGCATTACTGCGTTCCTGTTTTGAAGGGTAAGGTGTTGATGAAATTACAGGCACATGAGACTTGTCAACTTATGTAACAAGGTGACGGGCGCAGTGGCAGTCCGTGCCTTAAATATTGCGATTTAAAACTCTGAGTCGCACTGCAACTGTTATGGACAGGCGTGTCCCTTAACAGCAGGCACTCGACTTGTTCGTCCCGTCACTTGATATTATAGGCAACACAGCGAACGTATTTAAATACTTGTTTGAAAATTTTACCTTACCTCATTTACAATGCGTTCAAATTCACACGTAAAAAAGTAATAGTTCAATCTGTTGGCCAATGGTACGGCGAAATTTGATTATATATAGAGTCATAATTCCTTTATTTCTTTGTTAATTTATATCTTCGAAATGTTTCTACTTACGTACAAAATCCGTACAAAGTGTATACATGTAGGTAGATGTTGTGGTTCAACGATTCCAGTTAACAGTTAAGTTACCCAACCTGCAAGTGACGCAATGTTGCGTTCCAGTGGAACGTTAAATTATATTGTTTAATATTACTGATACACAATGATAGAAATTGGAAATCAGTGTATTTTCACTGGTATGTACTACATGGGTGCTATCTGCCTTTCATAATTTAAAACGTTGAAGCATTTGTACGAATAACTCTTATTGGTTGGTTAATATACATGTCCACTAGGAAGGAGTTAGGTCATAGGACATTAGACGCATTCCGCAATTGTGTATTGATTCTAGAGCCATTCTTTATTAGCAGGTTGAACTCCACATTATACAGATAACATTAATAGCATATTTACATTTTAGATTCATTGAATTGAATTGATTTTTTTTTAAAGAAGCCATATTATTTTTCAGACTGTTGTGGCGGCTAACAAAACCTATGTGTGGACAATATCAAAAAGTAAATGTAATTGCAAAATTGTATTGATGTCATAGGTATATTCTTAATAATAATTGTCATGGTTACTGTGACCTCCATTGCTTTTACAAACCAATGAAGAGCCTCGCGGTTTATTTTTTTCTGGGATTCTTTAACAATGTTATAATAACAATTACAATAATAATGTAAGTATTGTATGTTATACATTGTGTGTATATTTATGTGTAGAGGTGCGCGTTTAAACGAATAGCACTTAAAAAAAGTTTGCTTTTTAAAATAACCACATAAGCAAGCTTTTCAATTTAAGTGTAAGTGTTTAGTCTGTTCAATGCTCAACAATTTGATTTTTTACAACGTGCTTATGTTTCAAATCCCGCGGTCTATATTTCCTAAACAAATTAATTCGTCAATGTAAATAACAATTTTTGAAATAAAAATAAAACTCGTGTTTTACAAAAGAACTTACTTATATTAAAACCTTCAGTGGTCTACTCTTGCTTTTCGCTATTAGCACAACGTTGCAAGCTTTTTTTAACATAAAAGTCTACGCGCTTAAACGTTTTTCGAAACGATTTTGTAAGCTTCAAAATACAAAGCTCAAGTGAAAAACTTTTAAAAAAGTACGCTTTTTAAAAAAATTACAATGTTTTAACGTTTAAAAAAATAAGCAGTTTTCCCATCTCTTTTTATAAACTTTGTTTTTATCCGTTTTTAAACTTAGCTTGTCACGTTATGCATCCGCCTATTAATTATTCTGAACCCAATTCCCCGGGTTGACTGGTAGATAATGTCTAACGGTATTAAGTCCGCTGTTTATTTTGTGCGCAGTAAAGTTTAAATTAAAATAAATAATGCGTCAGACAACCAAATACCTGGTCTCAAACCACAGTGACTTCTCTGTACTGTGGGTACCAGAAACAATATATTCGCAATATGATCGTACCGTAAAGTGAATCAGAGACCTCTTCATCCAAACAATTGTTCTAGCGAGGACGTGGTACTGGATTTTATTTTTTATTTTTTAATATCAAGTAACGGGACGAACAAGTCGTGCGTCTGGTGGTAAGCGAGACGCCTATCCGTAACAGTTGCAGTGCTATTTAGAGCTTTAAATCGCAAAGATCTTATGGGCGCTACCACTGCGCCCATCACCCTGAGAAATAAGTTGACTGTAATGGGACTTCCCATGTGTAACATGCCAATCTCTATGTAACACGGGGCGAAATTATTAGTTTTATTTTCTCTTCTAAAAATATTCTGTATTCTAAAAAAACGACTGTTATATTAGAAATCTGCAGTGTGACTCGATACATTTCAAAATTCAAAATCGTTACAAAAAAAAACGTTAAACGACTGTGCTCATTCACCGATGTTGTGAATACTTTACGGTAAATGTCATCGCCGTGTACGTGTTAACAATTTACATCACAATAACGAACTAAAACTGAATCGAACGATGTAAATAATTTTTACCATCTGCTTTACAATGTTATAGCTACATCGATACAATCGATGATTCCGCCAATGTCAAGTTAAGGAAGACACACGTTTTTTACTCAGAATTTGCCCGGTGAATTTCGATAGGATTCGCTGAAAGAAGAATCTATAACAACAGAAAACATACACAGACTATTACAGAACAAATTGTTACTTTAATAAATTTACACAGGACATACACAAAGGGGAAGTGGACTAACGTTAGGAGGTAACTTATACAAAATTGCGTCCATTGGTACTAAAGCTGACGAACATAATATTATAATAATTACATCATTTAATATCATTTATTGCAACCATTGTTACAAAAAAATACTATAATAGTATCACAACGGATACTGGCAAGTATAGCAAATTGTACATAAATCTAGTTTGTATTATAATAACATACCTATAATTTATATCACTAATAAATTAATATTACTAATTCTATCATTTATTACTTCTATCTATGTACACACGCCAGCACATCAAGCTACACATTGACGTATCTTGTTCCGCTGCAATGGAGGCGATTTTTGAACAAAAATGTGTAGTCTAATGTGCCGTTATCCGTACATTAATTTATCGTTTCTCAATTTTTTTTCAATGGCTGATTGACAAGGAACATCGAGTATATAACCAGGAACAGAGACGAAATGTCATTTAATTTGTTTGAAAACTATTCTGCCAAATTATTTCTGTGTCAACTGCGCTACGATTGGCCAGCCTGAATTTGAAACAATTGACGGGTGTCGTCAACTGTTTCACTTCAAATCGACCAATTTAAGTTGAGCATTGATATAATGGACGAAAATTGCAAAATTACATTTTTTATTACCGATGAAATGTGATTCCGTTTGTTTTGTAATTACATGTTTTGCTGTTTTTCCCACACCACCGAATGGAACAGCCCCCATTGTGAGAGACATGATCTTTATTACAATAAATACAGAATATTTTTGGAGTATACGGAGATGTGCACACAGGTCCGTTGTGATTTCAGTGCAAACGAGAGTTGATATTTAAAAGTGATATAAGGCCCATTTACCTGAAGAATTGCCAGGGATGGACGGCCCTTATTTCGTCTCTATTTCTAGATACTCGATGACTAGGTATAGCTTTAGCGAGGCATAATTTCGTAACTGTTTCAGTTGCGAAACAACACTTTTCCTTAGTTTATTATAAATCACATTTACGATGCACACGCAAACTGCTTCAACAATGAAGTAACTTAATCCCAATTTTTTTGACTTCTGACAGCGATTAATACAGCCTTGTGTAATAAGCATTTACACAACTACACATCGGTTCAAAATACGAAATCATAATTTAAAATTTCAACGTGAAGGAAGACATACATACACACACACATATATACAGTATATTCATAATACCTATTTTAGATTGGGAGTCTGTATTACTAATAAACTCACACATTCACTCATTCTTAATTTGAACACTTCAAAATCTTGATGATAATTGGTCCTAGTTTCTGATTCAAAAAGAAATAACAAGTTGTAGATTATTAATAAATTTAAATTTTGCCCCTATATATTGGCATGTCGTTGAATGTTCAATACCTATTAATGCAAGTTACGAGGTTTCGATATTACATTGAAATTTCAATCAATGTGCTGCCATCTAGCCGTTAATTGCTGAACGACGACGAATTGGAGTTATTAATTTAGTTCTCAAAAAAAGAAGCGACCATATTGCAGGGGTATAAGCTTTACTTTCGTTTCTTGTAACAAAAAAATTATTTCGATAAACAGAAAATTGAAAATTTATTAAATAAAACGTACCGATGATATGAAATACCACCACTGGTAATATTTTTTGGTGCAGCTATCATTTTTGCACTCCAAAACAGCCCAATAAGGCATTTTTCTACGATCTTAGAAAAATTGCACGAAAAAATTACACAACCATACCATATAAAGCGAAAATGACGAACTGAGCTGGTCTTTCGAGGCCTAATAGTTGGCACCCGTCGGATGCTAACTAACCACTTCTAGTGTCGTATTCTAGAACTCTACTCAATGCTCAAGTCAGGACTTGAGTATGATTCAAAGCACTAGAAATCATACTCAAGTCCTTGCCATTAGGGTCGTATTTCCAGTGCTTGAAATCACACTCAGATCCTGACTTGAGCATTGAGTAGAGTTCTAGAATGCGACCCCTAGTGTATTTATTGTTCCATGACTACCACCGTAGATATACGAGCATTAGTATTGCGTTTCGGTTTTGGTGAAATTACAGGCACATGGGATTTGTCAACGTCTCTGGATGACGGGCGCAGTGGCAATGCTCCTCAGATCTTTGTGATTTAAAGCACTGAGTGGCACAGCAACTGTTATGAACAGGCGTGTCACTTACCACCTGGCGCACGACTTGCTCGTCCCGACATTTGGTATCATAAAAAAAACGAGTGATGTTTAATTATTTTCAAGATTTCAGGTGTAATTTGTTTACATATTTAATAAAGATTTTGAATTGAATTTTAAATACCAACATGATTAACATACACGTCTCACACTGTATTATACGGTTTACTTTACCCATTTACCAAATTATCTGTGAAAATGTAAACTTTTCGTGTATGGAAACATAGCCTTATTTACATACCGTATGCTCCTATACGTGTTAGCTACCTATTGTATTTCCTTCAGTTATTAATTTCTTCTTAAGTCGATTCCAAGAAGACCTCTTTCCACTTTCAAGATGCAAACGAAAATCGCAAACTCTATAACAATGGCGTAAAAGAAAGTTTATCTAAGTATATATATATGATGACACGAATTTTTCTTGTGACATGATTTCTCACAGTTTCCCATTGTGAGCTCTAGGTTAACGTCGTCACAATATTTATGTTCTATGTCAATGTCTTAGATATGCGGAATAATAACAAAACCTTCGAGAATTAATACTGACACTGGCGATGATCGCCATATATTTTTTTTATATTGTTTTTATAAACTGGAACTACCCAAGCCTAGGGGCCGCCATAAAGGAAATAATAATAATAACAAACCTTTACAGACATATAATATACCAATATCTGTTCAAAACCTTACAATTACAAATTATTCATTCCTTTATTTTTTTCCATCCTATAAGATGCAGACGTACCGAAAACACGAAACACGAACAAAATTTCTTACAGTTGGTTTTTTTTTCAAAGATACAATATGTTAAGAAAAAAAACCATATCATAGAAGGTTAACCTTTGTTCAGGACCCGTGAAGCTCTGCATGTCATAAAACTTCTGAAGCCGTGTGAAGTTCTCAAATCCAACTGTACTGTACAATATGGCAACTTAGGCACAGAATGGCAAACTCTCAAATTGTCTTAAGACTCATATTGAAGCATACCTGACTCACATGTCATTAAAATCATTATAAACATAATAAAATGCTTTGTTACTGTGTCACATGTTCAAACATTTAAACAGTTATGGGACCGTTCATAAATTACCTACGCTAGTGAGATAGGCAATGCGGTATCACCCGTTTCGTGACGTCACTGCTAATACGTAAACAGTAACATGGTCGACCCCTGTGATTATTATCGGATTAAAGTCTCTTTTACCAATTTTCGTCATTTTTAATAATATATACATAACACAAATTTTGCAGATCGCTTAACGACTATATCTAAATGTTCTAGTAATTCTTCCATTTTTAATTACAATTTTAAGGCTTTAACTTTTAAGTGTGAACTTTAGATGTGAAATACGATAGTACCGTACTTAATTACTGTAGGTACTTGATTCTAAGCCAATCATAACTTTATCATTTGAGATTCATTCAGCTGGCGAAAAATATAGTGTCACCTCAGGTACTTGACCTCAAAAGAACTCGCAAAAAGTGGACCTTGGAAACCTGTTCTCGGCAGGATGTAATGACGTTACGAATAAAAATAAATCAACTGGACATAAACTGGATGTCTCCGCATACTAAAGAAGCTCTGTTCCAGATAACTGTAAATAACTATTTACAAAACAACATTAGGTAATGAAAATTATAATCGTGTTAATTTAATGAGTTAAATACTCCAAGATACGATACGACGTCGCGCCCGATACTGGTTGGATTGAGAGATTGAATACCCTCTTACAAGGACGTTTTTAGGAGTACAAAACACAAACTCACAAAATGTTTTTTCTTTGTTTCCAGTATTCCAAGTATGCCGACTGACGTTATCTGCAACAGAAACATGGTATTCAGCAAACGTTATAAACAACGGAGACTTCTCACCGAAACCTATCTCGGAGATTTTCTCTTCTACTGAAGCGCCACCGCCCTTCTCTACAAAGAATCCAATTGTCGTTTTATCTCCCTCTCCTTCACCTCAGAGAGTATCTACCGCATCAATATCGACTTACAATCCGAACGGAATAAACTCTTTCACAACTTCAACCCCATTACCAGAACAATTTTTATCGACCAGTCCATCAGTACCGACCGGGTCCAATTTCTTCGAAACTCAATCGACATTTTCCTTGCCAACTCAGCCAGATAGGGCAGAATTTAGCCCGTTCCCGTTTCAAATAATAGAACAGCCAAATGGCTTGCCCGTTTTACAAGAAAAGGAGAAACCACAAGAACCTCCTAACTATTTCGTAGTATATCAACAGCCTCCCCGAATACTTGAAAGTTATCCTAGCGGCCCACAGCAGGGCTTTGCATCCCCCCAGACTACGTTATCAACTTTACAGCCAGAAATTTCAACTCCGCAGTCTACTTTCTCAACTTTTCGACCAGAAATATCGAGTACCGAATCCATATTCTCGTCCGTGAATAACGAGCTATCATTTTCACAATTTCCTACCTCAACAATGCGTCCAGAGATTTCAACCATGTCATCAACATTCTCTACTTTGATACCCGTCACAAACGGATTTGCAGTTTCCGGTTCACCTGACTTTACTTCATCTGGAACCACTTTTTCAACTGCACAACCTTCACAAACTACTTTTACCTCGACGCCACGGTCTACGTCTAGTCTCTCGACGCTACCGTCTACGTCTGGTCCTTCGACATTATGGTCGGCTATTTCTACAGTCTCTACGCTACGCCCACCTTGTAGCAATGGCACAGGCACACTTCCATTTGGCTTCAACTATCCGTCACTCCGAATCAGAATGGTAGCGCCGAAAGGTTCAATAACCAACATCCATTTGAACCCGCTCGCTACGCCGTCTCCTAGACGGACCAAAACTACCAGAAAGCCAACGACGGCAAGAACTCGTAAAACGAAAATAACGAGAAATAACTACGACATGTGTTTAAACTCTTGCAGTGGAAAGAAGGCACCAATATGCGCCGCCCCACTGGCAAAGATTCCGATAGATCCAAATACTTTGAAGGGATTCCCATCAATATGTCATATGGCATGTTTTAATTCCTTCAAGAAAATTCGTAAGTATTATCTAGTTGTTTTATACCAACTAATTAATTACCAAGACTTCTACCAATCCCACTAACGTGTTTTCTAACTTCAATTACATCAACTGGACTAACCTATTGCTTAGTCAAGCAGTAAAAACTAAACTGAGTAGGCTATTAGTTAACCTGATCTAGTTGTAGTTTGAACCAAAACAATGGGATTGCAACCAGACATATAAATCATGTATAATGTACATATAAATCATTGCAATGTAGATGTACGTACCTATTTCAATTAGGGACTTACCTAAACTAAAAAAATAATTCTAATTTGTCACATTCATTAGTCAGATAATTTTTTAAAGAATATACAGGGCTATTTGAAAATACTTACCTCGCAGGATTTAATTACTAACATCATAAACAAAAACTTTTGTTCCATGACATAATAAATTTACCAAAAATAAATTTTCAAGTTTTTGTTATACACGTTTTAGACCTGTATTTAGTAGAGGTAGTAAGTACAAACGTGCAAGCATCCTCTCCGACGACCCCCACCCTCAGTCCTGCGGTTTGCATCGGACTAGTACTTTCGCTAACGCTTTCTTTTGTTGTCACAATGAGTTATCACAGCATTAATTTAAATATTTTTATTTGTGTACGATACTAAAACCTGCTGAATTATGAAAAGTCGTGAAACAAAAGTTGTTGTTTATGATGTTAGTAATATAATCCCGTTAGGTCGTTAGTATTTAACAAATAACCCTGTATATCGTTTCCAGTATTTTTTTACGTTCGCCAAATCTGAATACTACTGTAACATCCCTAATTCTAACGATCGTCTAATCTATCTAATTTAAACGGTCTTAACGTGAAGTTATCCTGTTTAATGTATTATACCTCATCCTTCATGCAATAATTCAAATAATCGATTACAGCCCAAGTAATTGCCCACCCGCTTTTCTCTATAGAACACAATGCACTTATTAGACTGTGTAATTTTAACTTTTACTATCATAATCAACCGTATAATCGGCTATTATGCAGTCGATTCATTAGTATCGCATGTCATTTCTTTAAATAAATCTATATATAAGCACCTATACATTTATGTTACTAAACACATAATTTCATTAAAGAGTCTATACAACCACAAAAGGCTTTGATTGATTTCGCATATCGGTGAAAGTGTTGAATCAATTACTTTAGAAAAAATACATAGTAAAATTGAGGATATATATACATATTACTATACAGTGTGAATATACGATTCCTCAAAATTTTCACGATAGAAAAAAAAATCACGAACTTACCTCGAAATTTTACAAGAAAACCGCAACCGCAAGTATATAACCAGATTAAAAATGAATTTCAAATATTAATTTCAATATCAATTAGATTTTAATTACAAAAAATCATTTGGAAACTGTATATTATATAACAATCAGTACAGAGTATTAAAAAAACAGACGTTAAAAGTCATGCATCCCCTAGTTTGCCATCCTTAGAGGTGGAATATTTTCTTCAAATTTAAATGGGATCGCATCTGAGGTACCCTCTTTCCAACATAAAAATAATCATCAACATCGGTTCACAAAATATTGAGTTATCGCGTAACATACATACAAAAAAAAACATACAGTCGAATTGAGAGAAGTCGGTTAAAAAAAGTATATTTCGCATTTCCTGATAAGTGTGATTCGCGTACTAACTTAACGTACCTACTTACTTACATTTAGGCAGATAATAACAAAACTTGTATTATTTTCCAGAATACGAAATGCTAGTGGACGGTCGATGCGGCAGACTACGCAATCGGATTCGTCCACTGGACTCCAATACTAAGCTTAAGAAAACGGAACTTGACAAAGCACAGTACACAATTGTGAATGACCCACAAACAATCGTAGAGGTTTCTAATTTGTCACGCTAGACAGTAGTTTGTTGGGCTGTTACGCATTCGACTACTAGATGGCGTTGTAAAAACGATAATAATTCGTAACTGTCAATAACAACAAAATGGAAACTCCTGAAGCCCTTAGAGGATGGAAAAAAATAACTTAAGCCTCAACGAAAAGATTGACAAGATAAAACTTTGGACTAACGTCGTGGCGAAGATTCTTTTTCCTATTGACAACAGAAATGATATCATGACAGCGTCAACATCGTAAGGTCTAAAATTAAAACGCTTGTCTTCCTTAACTTTGCTGGAAACACCGACAGTGTCGAAGAAGCTTATAAAGGTGCTTACAGATTTGCTCGATTTTTGATGATCTTTACATCACTTTTGGCGATGGATAAATATAAATCAAGGTTAAAACCAAACAAATTTGTATTTGCGTCTACGCCAATTTAAATTCCACAGTACCGATTGTCACAAAATACATTGTCGATGGTCTATTGCTTAGACATTTACTCGATTTTGTCGATCGTCAAAAAATCAAGCAAATCAGTACGCACCATATCACACAAAAATTTATTGATTGAACACGTCCGTTTGTTTTTATTGTGCAGTGCCGTTTAGACAACTCCAATCCCATTTAGGACTTCATTTGTGTCTCAAGGGATAGTATTAAGAAGTTACTGTAATTTAATGCAAGGAGACTGAAATTAAAAATCGTCATTAAAAATGTATTCCAAGAAAAGATTTCACTCCGTGACCCCACCGCTTCTCGTAACTACTTAATCCATAGGATGTTAACCGGTAGACAGCGCTTTGCACAGAAGCTACACGGATCCAAATGTCCAATGTACAACAAAGTAAGCGTATAATGTGAAGTGCGGCAGTCCTATATGTATAGTTGGTACTTTCATCGGACTGTGAAAAATATAATATATTCAACATTGTTGCACATCACAATCGAACAAAACGCTACTTTAGGTATAAAAGGTCAACAATGGCGACGATCGTCCTTGCCATTTTTAAGGTATATTTATTTAGAGAACAACTGATATCAAACCATCTAACGAACTACAATTTAAAGAGTTTGGGTTTGAACCCACTTGTCAGTTGATATGATTTCGTTGTCGTTGCAATCGTCACTACACTTTATGCTTATGCGTACTCAACAAATATAAAGCTTGAAAAGCTGATATATGAAATCTAACCCTTAGGACATCTTCAATCGGCAATATTCATTCTACCTAATTAAATAATCGAATGTGACTTGTGTTTTGAGTGAAACTAATTTTAATGACACTTCTGGGGGGCTACCGCAACCTCTTAAAACAATATTACTTTAACCTTACATTGACTTTTCGTACCATAATGCGCTTAAAGTAAGCTTATTATAATGTTAAAACTGTCATGTTTTATTGGCAGCTTTGTGACTATTCATTCTCTCAGTTCGTACTATGACGCGACTTTAACGTTAAAGTAATTATTGCTCTTATGTCAAATTTAGCAATCTTAAAATAGTCACACGGATGCAATGGAAACAATATTATTTTCAGTTTAATTGTCTTAATATTGATTTGTAATGATTAAAAGTTGAACTTATTTATTTACATATATCTCTTCAATATTTTGTTTATTTTTTAGTTAATAGCACTAAATAATTTTCCGCATTATAATAGCGCCATCTATATGCTCCTTGGCGAAACTAACAGTTGACACTAGACTAAAGTTCTGAATTGACAACGTGACTATGAAGGCTGAGCTTGTTTTATTCATTTTTCTTCATAATAATGCGGAATAATTATTGAAAACAATGTAATTTTAATAGATTTTATAATTACATACTTTTCTTAACAGTCAAAATTCTCTGAATGTAAATAACATTAAGTACATGAACGTTATACTAGGATAAGACGATTCGGAACATCAAAAAAGAAAGAGATGGCATTATATAGTTCACATAGCGTTATCTCTTTTCTTATTTTTAGTAAGGAATAGACGATATTGGGAAATCATACGTTCTTTCAATCACTTTTGCAATAATACATTGCTCGGTTGACTGGTTCGTCATGGTGGAAACGTGAGTAATATTATAATAAGCTTCATTTTAACCTTACATTGAAATAAGATTGTTTTTGGAAAGGTTATGGTAGGCCCCCAGATGCTCGTAATTTCAATTATGTTAATAGTTAAAAGATATCGACACTTTGAATTAGATTTATCGACACATTTATATTGACCACTTTGCAACCGTGGCAACTTTAAAGGTTTTTAGCTCATAAGGCACGCAATCCACTCATTAGAACGGCTTTCTGGACTTACTTGTGTCATTTCGTCACAGGGTTCGCTGAGTTCCTGGATGCGGGTCGATATAATGCAAATATAGAATATGGCAGTGAATGTGCATGCTAAAGTCGATAAAGAAATTAAGTTAAAAGGTCATCTAAGGTCTACCTCAGAAAAATGTAAAAATTTTGTTACTTATCGAGTTCTTTGGTTATCGCGATTGTTACACATGATATGATACAATTTTTTGAATTAAAATCGCGTTTATCACGAGCCGTGACCATGGGATAATAAAGGGCCCGACACGTGGTTTGTTTGAAAAAACAAATACCTATACGCGATTTAGATCCGAAAAAATAATTTCATTTCCAATTGTCTTATCATAGTAGTACGTAGTTAAGTATTCGGTTTTATACAATCTTGTGTTTCTATTATGAATTTGCAGCGACAGCTACCAATAGCAACCGCTCAAAATATTTGTAGGTATATAAAAGTTACTTTTTTTGTAACTAGAGGCACTGTACAATTTGGCATATATACAATTATTATTATCAGACACGGTGATTAGCGACACAGTCATTGCAATCTCATGTTAGAGACACTAAACAGAGACCTGAGTGTAAATTTGTAAACATTTAAACTTAATTACCGCGTTTGCGTTAAGAATTTTATTTCGATCTTAATTATATGTCTATAAGGTTTAAATCAAATTATTAACGTAAACGCGATAGTTCAGTTTACATATTTGAAAACTTACACTAAATCCCCAGAACTACTTTTTCAACAAAAGACCTTAACTTTTTATTCTAAATTATTTTTTAGACAATACCGATCCACAAGCGGATTTGGGCAAGACTAAAATATTCCAAGTTCCGTCCAATAGGATTAAGATATAACTGTAATAATTGGTCATACAATTTTTAATGGCCGTATGGAACGTAAAAGCAACTTCAATCAAACTTCCTGATTAATATTTTTGTATATATATTCTTTGTATCAACAAATGTGACATTTTAAGAATTATGACAATTGTACTTACTGTAATTCGTTTGAAACTATAATTGAGGCTATCGGCGCAAAAGTGGAGTAACCACTTGTTTAATATTTTTTGTGCAATATTAATTTTATAATTGAATATTGTTTATATACGAAAATAGCATCCAAATATGAAATAACTACGTGCTTTAGTATCATTAAAAGTAATATTGCAAAAAAAAAATTATGTTGGCTACACCGCTTTTGCGGCGATCACCTCAATTAAGTATTAAAATTAATAAATCTGCAGTATTCTTTATGCACCTGAAATCAAAGATTGTATTTTTGAATATAATTGTTTATTTTTATACATAAAAGTTGAATTAAAAATAAAAACTTAGTTTCTAATTATTACCTAATTCCTAATTACAATTTTGAAGTGTCAGTCTATTTGAGTTTGCCTTAACGTTTATAAGATCATTTATTTACAGACAATAATTAACCACGTCATTTAGTTCAGTATATTTTTTGTCAATAGATTTAATTTAATTTCAAACACACTGGTATTGAGTACGACACATAAATTGTTGTAACATAATCACAGTCATTGACAATATTCATAAAGGGAATGTCGATAATAATCTATTTCTAACCGACTTCAAAAAAGGAGGAGTTCTCAGTTCTCAATTCTCAATTAGACTTGTATTTTTTGTTTTACGTTACGCGATTACTCAGACATTTGTAAACCGATTCCGATGATTATTTTTTGTTGCAAAGGGGATGGACCTTAGTCGTCCTATTCAAATTTGAAAAAATATCAATTTCTAAGGGTGGCTTATTAGGTGATGATTCCGGTTTGTTGGATATCACCCAGTTTCCGTTAACCGATTTCAATAAAACTTGGCAAATAGATGTGATATCACGAACTTTTGAGGTCGGCTTTAAAAAAAGTTATTATTATTATGATCTTATTAGTGGTGATAAAATCTATATAACTACTAGAACCGCTGTTGAAAATTATTCTGCTGCTGTGAGTTGTTCTGCTGCTGGCCGCCGAACATCATTTGCTGTTGTTGATGAAACTCCTGCTGCCCGCCGCCGCCGCTATTGCCTTGATTCGGCCCTGCAATAAAAATATCAATGGACTCTAACGGTGAAGAAAATTCTCCTTGTGAAAGAATTCGTTCAGGGAAGTACTGCCACTTTACTTAATTCTGCCGCCAAGCAGTAATGTTAGCATTACTGTTTACCGGTGATGAAGGGTAACGGTGCTGGTGAAATTACAAGCACATGGGATTTGTTCACATATTACTGGCGAATCTGAATTCTATTTACTCGGCAACAACAACATTTAAATTCCTCGGAACAATACAACCGTGGGGCCGCCGCGTAGACCAAAGACAAGCCAGACTCGCCCGCGCGCCCGGGACGCTCGTTTAAGTTAAAACGTAAAGCTAAATAAATAGAGCGTACTTTGCCATGACAGTTAGATGCATGCGGTCGCTGCGCTGCGTGAGCGCGATGAAATTCGTGTCAAATGTCGTGTGTTGCTATGAACGTAATATAATTCTCGTTTATAGACATAATGCAACATATCTTATGAACACAACACAAAACTACTATAGAAGCGCGCCCTACCGCCAAGCAATCAGCCTTATCCAACGCGAACCTTGTAAACTTCCGATTTAAAATTCCGTTATAAAAGTTACTGCAGCAGAAACGAAAACAGATGTGAAAAAGCGTGCGGAACTTCCACAGTTGCGGAAGCAGAAGCAGAGGTCTGTTACATCACTAATCTGTACAATACTTTGGACTATTAGAGTAACTTTGGACATTCTAGCACTTCGGTACTTTGGACGTTTTTCAAATTTTGTGCTTTTTGTTGCCATGGTCATTGGTCCAAGGCAATTGTGTAAGGTGTATGGGATAACAACGATGAAAATGTTAGTTCAAATAATATGATAGATGTGAAGATAATGATTTTCACCATTTTTCATTTTTCTATTATTATGCAAAATCAAAACAATATTTGATGGAAATTTACGAATTTATGACCCACGTGTAGGTAATATTGAAACTGTATGCACGGCGGCAAAGTACTTACTTTAAATATTGTAGACAGAATATTTTTCTTCAGAGATAGTATTCTTATTTTTAAAAGTAAGTAATACCGCTTTCAAAAACTTTTTAAAGTTCCTTGCTTCGGCTGGGAATCGAACTGCCCATATGTGAAAAAAAATCCTGTACATTTGATATAGTGATTGCAGGTTCCTTATTATTGTTTATTTTAAAGTGATTTAATAATAATTATAGTGTTAGTTTTACTTGATTTTAGTAAATAAGTTGTCATGGAAGTGAATAAAATTTTTATCTACTTATCTATATAAAAAGAAATGACAAACCGCGATAATATTTCTTTCGATCTATGGGTCTTTCGATCGTGTTTACTGATTGATATCGAATTTAGTGAGAAAAATATCAAACTTCGTTTCTATGGAACGCACGAACTTTAAAATCAAATTTTCTATTTCATCGCATCTCCGACCATTGTAGCGTAGCACATTATGAAGGAAAATTATATTTTATGAATATTATTTTAATAATAAGTACCTTGCATTCTCATGCGTTTAGCATTGTTGGCGCCATGATCATGACTGTTCTGCTGCACTTGATTTTGTTGTGTCTGAAACATAAATAAATTCAGCCTAATATGGATAGATTACTTGACACTGAAGGTCATAATTTAATAACCAAAGAATTTGTATATTAACAGTTTCTTATAAAACATAGAAAATTTTTTATATAAAGTTCAAAACGGTCGAAGATCTCATGTGACGTCGTGCAAAAGCGTCTCAAGCGGTACTACAATAACACCGCTATTATGTAATCTACACAAAACGCACATGGGTCCAGATAAAAAATGTGAAGTCTTATAAAGGAGAAATGGATTACCGCATTAGACACCAATTTAAAAAATCTATTTCTGCATTATTTGTTCTAGAAACCTATATACAGAACAAAAGAAATTTTGTCAGTGAAAGAGATATAAGAAAAATAAATAATCTATCACATGTCAGCTACCTGTAACTTCTAATAGAACATCGAACAAAGATTTTCTTACCATTTCTCGTAAAAATGAGTTTGTACGAGATATGTGCTAACCATGATGCAATTTTTTTTTTTTGTCAATATTAGTAACTTACTATCAAAGTAGTTTTCACTAAAAAAGTTTTTAGTAGCAATAGAGCTCCTTGTGAAAGAGTTCCTCCAGTGAAGTACTGCCACCTTACTTATTTCTGCCGCCAAGCAGTAAAGGAGCATTACTGTGTTCCGGTTAAAACATGGGATTTGTCAACTTATGTCTCAGCGTGACGGGCGCAGTGACAGTGTCCCTATGACCTTTTTTGCGAATTATAAAAAAAATACCTAATGGTTTGACAGTTTTCCTGTAACTCCTATGATTGTGGATTTAGACACTTTGTCCTAGTTTAAAAAAAATCTGATTGTATAGTACTCATCATAGGACTAGCTATGCAACATGGCGTTCAATATGACGCCACGTAGCGTCACAAGTAGTGTAGCGTATATATTTGTTTACATTAGGTTGTTGCTGTTGCTGGTTTTGCCTGGCCTTAGAATCGCTCTTATCGTCTTGGTCATCATCTGTGAGGAACTCTCTTTTCGGGTATGGTATGGGACACCCAGCGAATACATCCTGCAATAAATATCATTATTTTAAAATATTGACACTCTTGAATACTCCCTAAAACTTAGTCAAAATAGAATTGTGCATAAAATGTGAAATCCTTTACATTTTAAAATAATTTTCTCTTCGGAAGTATGGGTGTGGAATGTCAGTCTCACTAAAGATAAATAGACAGGTTAATGAGAATTGACGCTCTTAAAAATAGATTGTCACTATAGTTTATTCAAGTTAGCGACCTAGTAAAAAATATTTTTGGTTTTATTTTTTAAACACCTTTAGGCACAAGCCCTTGCTATTTTAACTTGTTAACGCCCCACTTAACCTTGTGCCTCCATCTAATGTCCTTGTCATTTTTATGACGTAGTGCAAAAGAGAGGAGCCTATACTAGGTCGCTAACTTGAATAGACTATAGTTATAGGTTTTTTGCCACGGATATTTCATAAATAAGACTGTAGTGAGAAACCAGTAATTCTGATCAACATTTAGTGAATTAACACGAAAAATATAAGATGCATCAAAGTTTAATTCGTTAGGACTGTTTTCATTACATGTCATAAAAAGAGGTGGGTCAACTAGCTAGACTAAATTTGTACAAGCAAAACACAACATACATGGCGTAAGAGCCTATGCACATGGCATATCTTATATGCGCCGAAGACACGCGCTACCCGAACGCGCCTATACGCGTATATGCGAATGTCATGTTAATTAAATGTATGGAAGCGTTTGACGTTAAAGTTTTGCATATTTCTAGTTTTATTTTTAAAAAGTCGTATTGTTGTACTCATTAAGTTTTACTTTCGATATCAGCTCAAAGGTTTTTAATATCTCTTATATTTACAGAATACTCGCCTGGGCGCACTTAAAGATCACACGCCCCTGTATATCACACATTAAACCAAACACTGACGTAACTCAAAATTGTTAAATTGAGAAAACACTTTGCAAATAAAAAAAATACAGAATGGGTGAAATAATATAAAAAAAAAAAAAAAAATAAATAAATAAAACTTGTAATTGTAATACTTAAATGATCCATTTATAAACGATGATATATTTATATATATATATATTAAAGATAAAAATAAATTTATTCTGTATAAAAATTTAACCTGAATACATGTATCTTATTAAATAACCTTTTATTTACATATATATGCGCCAGGCTATCGCAAATAGAGATATTATTGTATGTTTACATAACTTTAATTAAGGTTAGTAGTGCAAGTTAGTCTAGGTGATATCTAAACTAAGTAAAATTGCTTACTTGTATCTTAGATATCCAAATCAGTTAGTCAACATATTTTGTTCAATAACAATAAATTACAATAAAACATGAATACTTAATTGTATTAGTTAGCATCTTAACTATTATTAATATTACGTAACAACAGATAGTACATTTTCGGTATCATTGTAGTTTAATCCTTTTAACCAGTCTTGTATGGTTTTCTTACATTGAAACTTATTCGATTTATTTTATTATACAAAATGCTACCAAGAAAGCAAAAGAATCTGTGGGAGTGTGCAGTTCGAAACCGTTCAGTGGTACAAACAAAGTCTGCTCGTCTTTTGCTAGTTTGGAGTGAGGGAATATAGTGCGTTAGTGAATGCTTTTTTGTTACGGTTAGTAGTATGAACAACTGGCGTAATGAAAGTACATTTAGCAAGGAGTTCTGCAGTGAGAAAACGAAAAGATCGGAATGTGCTGATTTTCAGTATGGCCCTTTGTGCTATTTCTAGATTTAGCAAAGTGTTTTATAGGTGCCTCCCCAAGTCGTTAAGCAGTACACAAACAACGACTGACAAAGAGACAAATACACAGTTTTCAGCAGTTTTCCACTGGCGACATGTCTTAAATTTTTGAAAATATAAATTAATTTTCGTAGTCTAGCCGTAAGAGTTTCAATATGGGCCTTGAAGTGATTGTGATGCCTAAATATTTAATTGTGTTTGTGCTGCTAAGTTTAGGACATATACAGGTACTTCCTACCGAGCCAAAATGTCATATCTATCTATATATCTTATCTATAAAGTGTGATGTTATATATAAGTCTTTCTAGGATTGTAGAAATAGACGGCAGTATGGCTATAGGGTGATAGTTATGTAAGCAACTCTTATCCCGATTTTTATGAACCGGAGTGATGAGGGCCTTTTTTAATATATGGGGAAATATTCCTGTTACAAAGCACTGGTTAAATAAATACGTAAGTGGTGGTATTAAGTGTTGCTTGAATACCTTGATGAATGAACAGGGTACTTTATCAATTGCAGTAGCACAGTCATTTTTGAGAGTCATGATGATTTTTCTTACTACAGATTCGTCAGTATCAAATAGGGCAAAAGAGTGCGAAATAGCCATGCTTGAAGGGTGCTGAGTGTGACAGAGATAGTTATTGTTGTACAGTTTCGCCTTTTCAGCCAAGTTTCTACCTATATTAGCAAAGAATTTACTTGCGCAATTAACTGTAATCGCTGTGGTAGCTGTATTTGCAATCAGCTGATGTGCAGACGAATTAGTGTTATTGGTGTTAGTAATGTTTTTGATGACTTTCCATATTTTTTTCTTGTTTTGACCTGCATTTTGTATTTCTGTCTCTGTTCACATTTTCGTTTTAATTTCTTGAGTAGATTATTACAATAATTACGATATCTGAAATAAGTTATTTTAAGAACTTCATTTTCTGGATTTTTCGTTAATTTTTTATGAAGTTTATCACGATGCCTTATACAGCGTAAAAGTCCAGGAGTTTTACCATGGTTTAACAATTTTATTTCGTCGTGATAACAAAGTGGTACGTGTATTTCTGTCAATATTTTTTGTTAAGGAAGAAATAAAATATTCTGTTGATATATTTGTGTCATTTGTATCATAAATAGGCTTCAAGTCTAAGTTGTGTAGGTCATGTATCACTCCGCTTAATTAAATTAATTAATTTTGCAGCGTGGTCTGTTTTGTGATAACGTAAGACTTATTATAACATTTTTGCAGAAACAATAATACAGAATTATGGTCAGTCACGGAAGAGTTTAATACTAAAGTTATCCAAACAATTTTCTTTTCTGGTTGGACGAAAATGAGTCGGTAAATAGCCGAAGCAGGCTGCAAATGTTAAATATTCTTGTGAATTATTGTCAATATTTCATTTATTGTCATTATTTAAATCACCAATCAGATATACATTTTTAAAAGGGGTTAAATTTCGTAAAATATTAGCAAGTGACTCTAAAAAGTTAGTAATATTGTGATAAGAAGGAGAACGGTAAATGGTCACAATCGCAGTATCGTTTCCGATCTTCGCAATGAGACAATTACCGTCTACAATGGCGGGTTCCTCTGTTATAATATTTTTTATATATATAAGGTAACACCATCATTTTGTAAAATATTAGTTTTTTTTAGTAGATATATCATATCCAGCTAATTGGGGAGTGCAGGATGAAAACGATAACCAGCATTCAGTTAAAACAATTATATCGATATCAATATTAATCTGACTTAATAATGTTACCAAACTATTAAAATTTTGTGCTAAAATATTATGGCTACACTTGATGTTAGGAGTAAGCGTAGAACATCTTTCAGGGTCACAAGTAAAAGATTCATATTCTAAGGAAGAGTCTATGTCATTTACAAAATCATTTGTTATATTACCCATTCCCGTGCTATGTGGTCTTGCTGTTTAGCGCTCTAGGCGCCCTTATAATCGATGGAGCTTAAATATCTAGCTTCAGCACTTTTTCTCGCTGGGTACAGCGCATCTCCCGTCCTGTGTTGGCTTGGCTTGTTGTACCACTGATAAGAAGCGCATTTAGGTTATTCTTGCAGTTTCGAGCAATATTTAATTGCATGACCTACGCAGCCGCAGTGACCACAAGTGGAATCGGCGTCTTGACATTATATTGCAGAATGTCCATACTGCTGACATTTGTAACATCTAGGTACGATCGTGAAGTCCCTAACGGGGCAGGTTGTCCAGTTAATAAATACTCGCTCCTGTTGGATGATCATGCTTCTGATATCTGCTGATATTTCTAATATAAAGTTGCAATATGATGAGTCCTTTTTACCAGATTTGTGGCTCAACTTGATCGAGCTTAAAAATTTATCGCGTTGCACTTGTGGATATTTCTCAGATATGTTCTGTTCAAATAGGCACACCAGCACCTCCTTCCCAGGAATAGAGGTGGGCGCTCCTAATAATATTATTTTTGGTCTCCTTTTAATTTTGTCTTCTACTTTTAGCCCTGAATTTTTTAGTTGCTCGGATTACTTCAGCTTCTCAAGGTCATCTTTTCCTTCAACACTGATTATGACTCCTCCATCTTTAGTTTTCCTCATGCCTCGGATATGCAGCTTCAATTCATCGGGCTTAATTATGGTTCGGATGAGGTTTCTTGTGGTTTCGCTTGATCTCTCTTTATTTGTACTAGGTGGATGTACATTGGAGTTATACCCCTTTTTAACAATATCCACAAAGGATGTATTCTGTGCTGCTATCTTTGGAGCTGATCGTATGCATTCTTTCAAACCAAAGAAGAGATTCCTTTGTGATCATTATGGCTCTGGATAATTATTTGAGATGAAATGTATTTTTGCTTAAGGGACCGATATTTTACGGCTAACTGGGAAACTCCTCCCATAACACTTCTGCTTATGCTGTTTATTTTAAGTTTTTGTTCTGAATTGAGTTTACCACCATTTGCAATGCTGCATATATCGTTCAGGCATTGCTCGATTTAAGATAGCCACTTTTCTATTTCTGCAGTTGATACTGCTTCAATTGTTGGTATGGGAGTTGGAGCTTCTTCTACTTGTCGTTTCTGGGGTGGACTTCTGGTTGTCATCGTACTCCGATTAAATGGACTATCCACTTTAGAACCAGACATCACTATAGAAATCTTAACGTAACACCAATAACCGCACGATCATCATGCGCTGACACAGATTTACGCGGAAGCTATATTAACACAGTTATGAAATTTATTGTTATTACACATTTTAATACAATTTGCAGAAGACACGTCCGCCTGCAAACGCGGCTGATATTGTTCAAGAAAAATAAAAACGATTCGAAACGACGACAAAAAAATTCGAATAATCTATGATTAAGAAGTGCAATTTAAAAGAACTTATAAAAAATATTGTTTACCTGTGTTGGTAACGGATCCTCAGTAAAGTAGTGGTCTTGCATAGCCTGTTCCGAGGTAATCCTTCTATTAGGATCCATGAGTAGCAGTCTTTGAAGCAAACTGAATGCTTTACTATCTGGCTTGATCTTGTGGCGGTCCATGTATTTACTTAAGGAACAGTTTTGGTAGCTGAAAGGACAAAGAATAAATAGTTATATTGCTTGAATTAATGAAACTTTTAGTTGGCAATTTTCAGGTTAATTTTCTCTACTTAATTCCGGTGGCAATTAGTATTATTTAATTATTTTGAAATATTATTTAATATTTCACAATAATTTACTCGAATACTCAATAATAAACATTGTCACCGAAATTAGGTAGAGAAAACTAACCTGAAAATGAACCTATTAAGCATTGATTAATTTAACTTGATTTATTCTAAGCTACAGGCAAACTTGAAACGAAAGGCTGGAAAAGTTAAGAAATTACTTGGTCCATTATCAGGTTACTTCTCTTTACCTAATTTCGGTAGCAATTTTTATTATTTAAATATTAGTGTATATTATGAAATACTAAAATAATCTTTTATGATAATATTTTAGAACATTAGGTAGAAAAAACTAACCTGAAAATGACATTTATGGTATCTAATAACGAGTATGAACAAAGTATCTTATTAGCATAGAAAGCCGAGTAATATCTAGTGTACAATTTAAAGAAAAAAAAAACACTACTTAATAATAATAATAATAATAATAATCTTTATTTATTTCTTCTTACAAAGGTGATCCTTATTTATACACAACATAATGAATTTAGACTTAATAAAAGAATCTAATTAAGATACCTTTGTAAGAGGCTGGAGTCTATACTAGGAATTAACCTGTGTGACAGAACTCCAGGCTCTCACCCGACTGAAAACTACAGGTTTAATTTAATAGTTATAGTGTAACATGATATGTTGATCATTTATAATTATACTGAGGAAAAGAACAGATAAAAAATAAAAACAATAATAATAAAGAAATAAAAGAACATTTTTAACGAGACTAATAACCAAGAAGACTAGGTATGATTAAATGTGTGATGATGTGCTAGTGCGTCCTGGCGTTGGCGTGCTTGTGTGTGTGTGTGTGTGTGTGTGAGTATGTGTGTGTTTGTGTGTGTGTGTGTGTGTGTGTGTGTGTGTACGTGTTTCAGCAGCAATTTTTATATAATCGAGATCAAACAGTTTGTAATAAGTTTTCTGTGGATTGATAATTTAGATTTAATAACCAGTTTGTGATTTTATTCCTACATTCTATTCTTGTTACTGAGTAAAAAGCTAGAATGTTATTGAGTTTGTTATATAAGTAGTTCCCTAGGAAACAGAAAAATTTTCCTGCAAGTTTGGTCCTGTAAATTACTGAAGGGCAGACCGTGTGTTTCCTTCTTCTGTTGTTGTTTGTAGGATCAAATTTCAGTTTGGAGTGTTTGAGCAGAATCGTGTGTAAAATAAACAATTGACGTACCGTTAAGACTTTACAACGTTGGTATAGCTCAGTAGTAGGATACAACCGTGGAAGGAAGAGACTCACTTTCAGAATTAGCCTCTGGGCTCTCTCAAGTGGAAGTAATGTTGAAGCTGATGCTCCACCCCATATTGTGATGCAGTATGTCAAAATTGATTGGCAAAGTGCCAGATAAACCATCCTGACAATCTTGGGATCACTCACATGTCTTAAGTTTCTAAAAATATATGTAAGCTTACGGACTCTAACTGACAGGGCATTAATATGTTCATGGAAACTCAATGTATCATCAATGATAACACCCAGGTACTTGATAGAGGAGGATCTTGAAATTGTAGGACATGTACAGGGAACAAAGGACTGATGATGAGAATGGGCTATAATGTTAAACGTCTCATGTTCAGTAGTGGGTAACTTTCTAGCTCTGAAGGTAAGGTACTTTGTTTTATTTGTATTAAGGGTAAGTTTATTGTGCCTTAACCAGTTAGACACTGCATCAAATCCCTTTTGGGCCTTCCCATAAACCTCTTCCCAAGTATCTCCTTTAAATAGGAGAGCAGTATCATCTGCAAATGAGATAATCCGGCCTTCCCCGAGATCTAGATCACAGAGATCATTCATATACGTTAGGAAGAGGGTTGGTCCCATCACACTTCCCTGAGGAACACCGTTTTGGATGGGGAGGTCGTCACTGAAATTCCGATTAATCCTTACTCTCTGATATCTGTCAGTCAGATAACTCTGGAATAGTTTGAGTTGTAAGCCCCTCACTCCCAGGCGTTCTAGTTTTTGCAGCAAGAGTGGAACTGAGACTGTGTCGAATGCTTTTGCTAGGTCCAGGAAAACTATGATTACCTTATTTTTTGCGTCGAGATTAGTAACTATATAATTTGTCAGTTCATGAATTGCTAGGTTGGTTGAGCGACCTGACCTGAACCCATATTGAGAACTCGATATTAAATTGTTTTTATCTAAATAGTTCGTGAAACGTTTATTGATGACTTTTTCGAAAATTTTTGAGATGCTAGGAAGGATGGAAATAGGTCTATAGTTCGTTACACAGTCCCTGTTACCACTCTTGTGTATCGGAAGAATTTCAGCTAATTTCAGAACGTCAGGGAAAGTACCAGTGGTTAAGGCTAAATTGCAAATGTATGTAATTGGTTTAGTAAGTATGTCTCTATATTTTTTTAGGACCGCCCCCGATATGTTGTCTCTACCAACCGAGCCATCAGATTTAAGGTTCTGTATAATGGACTCTATCTCGGCACAGTCAGTGTCCAACAGTACCAGTGACTTAGAGTGTGATTTAAAAGCATTATTCATATTGTAGGATATAGGAGACATTGGAACTTTATCTGAATATTCTTTACCAATCTGTACAAAATAATTATTAATATTATTAATTGAAACAACAGGGTCAGTCGAAAGTAGTTCCGCAGAGCTTAACTTGTTTTTATTGATATTTGTAGCTGTTGAAATTGCACTCCATAACTTTTTGTTCCCGTTTTTAGCTGCATTAGAGATTTCGAATTTATTATGTTCTCTTTTAAGTCTTTTAATTAACTCATTGCAGAAGTTTCTGTATCTTTTATATGTTATTTTTAGTACTGTGTTGTTTACATTTTGTTTTAATTTTTTATTCATGTTGTCTCGGTTCCTCATGCATCTGAGTATTCCCGGTGTTATCCACGGTTTGTAAATTTTTTTACGGTTTGAAATTTTGATTTTTAATGTATTCATCAGGATTGCGTTGCTAAGAGTGTTAACTAGGAAAGATGTGGCTACATTGGCGTCGGATAACGAGTAGATAGAGTCTATATCACTTGATTTCAGTGCAATTTCAAGTTTTTCATAGTTGATACGGGATATTGTCTTGTGGGATTGTTTGTGCATTTGAGTATTAGTTTCTAAAATTATATAGGTAGAATTATGATCAGTAATAGATGTTTCTGATACATAACAGAAAGCTTGTAATTTGGATTTAATTATTATGTGGTCTAAGCACGTTTTGTTGTGAGTGGGGTAGTTAAAAGCTGGCAGCATTCCATGTATACATAATGTATCTAAATATTTACTGGAAATTTCATTGTTATCAATTATGTCAATATTGATGTCACCTATCAATATTATATTTTTTATGTTTGAATTTTGATATAGAAATTTACTAAGAGAGTCAATAAATTTAGTTGGATCGGATATACCCCACGGTCTATATATTGCAATAATTAGTACATCCAAATTTAATTTCAAAGCAAGACAATTACAGTCGGAAATGTCAGGTTCTTCAACTCTTACATTTATCGTACTATTGACATATACGACGACTCCCTCATTTTGCGTGCGATTGTGGATGGTGGAATAATAATTATAATTTTGAACATTAGGTATACTGTCTGTTTTAGGTAACCAACATTCTGATAGTATGATGACGTCCCAGAATATATTTGTTCTGTGTATTAATGTTAAAAAGTTATCTAGATTTGCAGTAATGCTTCTGATATTTTGGTGTGTTATATTTAAGTAGGATGTACCGTGCTTTTTTTTTATTGGAAAATTATCAATGCTAGGGAGAATGTACGAGTTTGCTATAGAAAAATTATCAATGCAATGTAAAGCGTCGTGGGACTTATCGAATTTTAGTATAATGATATTTTGGAGTCAAGACTTGCTGATGCAATAATTTGTAAACATTTATTTATTATATGTATACCGAATATGTATAATGGTACATATTTACACCGCAGGGTAATAATTTCGTAAGGAGGAGAGTGATCTAACATGGCATGACGATTGTTTATTTTCATTTTGATTTTGAAGCTGTGAATGTTTGTTTTGTGTATATTTGTAATGTACATGTGAGTTAGTTTGTTTGTGTTATAATGTGATAGGATATATTGATTATTGTTAAAAATGTTTGTATAGTAGGTATGTATGAGTGTATAAGACAATTGTGTAAGTGTGTGTCGCTTTAGAGTATGTGTATGTTTACATATAATAAAAAAACCAGTAGCAAGCAAATGTTTAGGAATTACTAGTCAAATTCTGCATAGTTTCTGTAAATCCTCTTCATCATCAATTCGGATGGTCGGAGATTTTTCTGTCTTCCGAAGATATACTTTGCCATACGCAGTCCAAGCCCCATAGTACCCATTTCTGGTGGCAAATTCTTTAGCCAAGAATCGCAGTCTCCTAGTTTTCCCGGTAAGAGATTCATCTATGTATATTGGTAAATGTGGGTTCGGAATCATAGGTAGGTTAATATGCGAAGTATTTAGTTTAGGTCTTTTATTCATTCCACTTTCTCTGTTAAACTGTCTACATTTTTTAATAAATTGGTCCTTTAAGATGATTGACTTGAGACGGACAATAAGGTGACCATTACTTCCTTGTTTTGTTCTCTGTCGGTAAACTTCAGTTATTTCCGAGTCATTGATGGAGTACCCTATCGTGTCACCAATACTCTTAACTATTGTACAGAGCATCTCAGGATTTTCTGATGGTTGTGGTGGAATATTTTTAACCTCCATAGTGCAGGCTCTTTGATTGCGTTCCATACCTTCCATTTTGCTCTCCAAATCTGTAATTCTCTTTTTATAACTTAGATTCTCCTGTCGCAGGTCGTCAATCTGTGTCACAAATTCATCATACTTTTTCGAAATAAATTCGATTGATTGTTGAAGTTCTTCATTCTGAGTTTTTACATGGTTTATATTAGTGATCATTTGCTCAATTTTTGCGTTTTGTCGACTTTCAAACTTATCGAACAAGAGTTGCAGTTCTGAGAGAATTGGATACGATTTTTCCGGCGAGTTTTCGATTTTACGCTTTGTATTTCTCCTCCCAGAGAATGAATTATCGTTGTTTTCATTATTCGATGTTGTTTGATTAAGTAGTGGGTCAGAGTTAAAGCTTTTTAGGCTGTTTTCCTTGCCTTAAAAAGATTATACAAAATTGCAATAATATATCTCCCAGTGTATTATTTGCAGCCTCTGCTTGCCAGCGCGTGATATAAGTTAGAAATCCTCAGTTTTAGGATTGGATATTTTAATACATAGAGACTTTTGTTGAACTAAGTTTCAGAGACTTTTAAAAAGTTGCTTGCCTCGTCTGGGAATTGACCCAAGCAAATGTGGAAAAAAGTCAATATTTTTAAACAACTTGGAGGAGGTTCTCAATTCCGATAGCTCCGGATTTGTGAACCGATTTTGACGATTCTTTTTTGTTGAAAAGAGGGTAACTCATTAGTGGTCCCATTTAAATTTGAAGAAAATATTCCACCTATAAAGATGGCAAACTAGGGAATGAATCCGGTTTCGCGTACTTTCCGGTAACCGATTTCAATAAAAGTTGACAAATAGATGTAATTCCACGAACTTTTGAGGTCGGTTTTTTTAGTTTACCGTACTGAGATAATAGAGAGCAATAAGGATCAATTCCTCATCAACTAACAAAATATTTTAATTTATGAAACACCAAACAAACTTGAAACTGCCAATGCATCTAAGTTATTTGCAATTTTATGAAATGTTCAGAATGTGATCTAACTTCTTGTATGCAAATTCTCAATCCTTTGATATGTTCGCGTACATACATACATACGTATATACATACGTATACTATCTTATGGTGTTATGATGGATATTCAAATTAATGCTTATAGTTGACCCTGTCGATCAGCATCATAAAAATACTGTATATTTAATTTCACGTTTGATCAGTTTACTTCCTAGAGGAGGCGAGCAACTGTTCAAAAATCTTTGAATGCAGTATTACTATGCTTTTAAAAATAAAATATTGTCTCTATGAAACAAAATATCCTAAAGTACATTCCCTCCATGTCTCATAGCTGTGGAACACTCAGTATAATTGTAATAATGTAGAAATTAAGAGCAACTTACTTCGATCTTTTAAAATCTTTAACTAAAGTGGCGTGTTCAGGCATCTTCCTAATATCTTCCCAGTCTTTTTCCTGTGGGAAGCCCATCACATTGAATATTCTGTCTAGTTGATCGTGATGGTAAGGGTTGCTGGTTTTAATATCTTCCTGCCGACAGTGGAATATTGGCTCGGAAGTTAGAAGTTCGGCGAAAATGCAACCAATTGCCCAGATATCTGAAAATTTTCAAATTTTACAATTTATAATGGCTTTATTTGGTTTTCATAATAGTTTTACACTTTCATTTCATTTGACATACGGATACAGGCATTTCAGGAATGGTGGAATCTCTGAATATACACATGGACATTAGTCTAATTAAAAATTGTTAGGCCAACTGTCTGCTTATAACATAGTCATTGATATCAAAATATACTTCATCAGTGAATAATATGTTACCAAGTAAGTACCTATTTGTGCCGTTTGATAACATTCCACCATCGTTTTGGACAAGTTTCTCACAAAATAGTCACTTTCATTTGAGTCTTGCACGATTTGCAATTTGCACTTTTAAAAGAATTAAATTAATGAAATAATTATTAAATAAATAAAATAATAACCTCCAAAACTGGGTTGCTCTGTAAAACTTTTAATTCAAATGAAAACTGCAATGTTTCTTATCGATTTAGGCAAATTTCCATTAATTTCCTTTTTAAATTACATCCTAATATAATGTCAGCGTTAATGTTGTTTATTATCCCTTGTTGCCTGAACCTTTGCTTTCACGTCTTCCTAGCTAGCTAGGTACTTAAGTTGCGTGCTTACTCTAACACTCAAGTGTCTTATATTGAGGAAAGAATAAAAATCGCGACGCGCACGGCAAGTATGGCCCTAATAAAATAGCAGAAGTATGGTAACTCCGCTGAAAAATAGCTGATGTCAAACACCGTCGCTTAAACAAGTCTGCAGTCTGCGAGTATGTCATGGATAAACCTACACATGCAATGAAGTTTGACAAACCCCAGGTCCTTGCAAAATAAGTTCGTTATCTACCCAGGATGCTGCGAGAGGACATTAAAATTAAAAAACATCCTAATTTCAACAGGGAAGATGGTTTCTCAGTACCACCAGTTTGGGATCCAGTATTTCCTCTAATGAAAAATCCCAAACAGACATAAGACTACAGTACTAATTAATATGTTTTAGTTTATTCTAATTTCTATTATTAATTAATAATAAATTGAACATAATAAAAATTCATTCAATAAAATAATTTGTAATAAATAATAATAAAATAACTTAATGTAGCGTAAATTGGAACGTTTTCTTTGTAAAATTAAAAATAAGGTATTTAATTAATAACTATTGTAACTATAGTGAAAAAAAATTGGGTGGTTTGCATCAATATTAGACATAACTGGTTGAAGACTGTACCATCTCAGTCAACCGTGACCATGGGACCTGTGAAGGGCCCGAAACATCGGTTTGTTTGAAAAAACAAATATATGCGATTTAAATCCGGAAAAATAGTTTCATTTCCTATGTGTAACAATCGCGAAAACCTAAGAATTCGATACTTAAACATTATTATATCTAAAGTACAAATGTCTCTCACCAATAGCTTTAGTATAATGCCTAGCCCCAAGCAATAATTCAGGTGCTCTGTACCAGAAAGTGACCACCACAGGGTCCAAGTCAGCTAGTGGCTTCAGAGGAGCATTGAACAATCTCGCAAATCCCATGTCTGCTATCTTCACTCTTCCTCTCTCTGGACCTTCTCCCATGACCAAGATGTTGGCTGGTTTCTGAAAATAGATACATTCTAAAATCAGATTTTAACCTGTGTATAGTAAAGAGGTGGTTAGAGTTTAAATTGTGGATTATAATGTTTTATTTGGATTACATAGCTAAATTAAAAACACAAAAAAAATACCAATCTATTACAGTTCTTTGAATGACAACTCTGCCCTGGTAAGAAAGAAAGACACAAGCAGCCAATTCAAAATTCGGAGATAAATGAGTTTATTTTGTATGAGAAATGTCAAAGTAAATAAAATGCTAAAACTGCTTTTAGTCACAACAAATCTAATAAAATTAAACATGGTAATAAGACCTTATTAGGACTAATTTAACATGTACAAAATGTTTCATTTGAGAACAGAATTACTACAATCAGCTTTTGGTTTCAATTAAACATTCTGGTATACTTGTGGGCATTGAGTAACTCCATGCTTGTGGCCAATGATGCTATACTTGATGTGGCCATACAAATGCTGTTATCATAATTCAACCTTTTTTTAGCATTTCTCTAAATATATCCATGAGTATACTTACCAGGTCTCGATGCAACACCCAATTCGAATGCAAGTAGTGTATCCCATCCAATATCTGATAAAGTAGACTCTTCACCATCCCTTTTGGCACCATAACTGACTTCTTATTAGCTTTAGCAGCACGGTGAAACTTAATGATATGCCATAAATCATGTTCTGCATAGTCAAACAGCAGCCATACTTTACGATCAGTATGTGAAAGAAATACTCGTATTAAGTTTATCACATTTGGGTGCTTGAGCTCTCTTAGTAACTGAAACAGGAGGAATTCAAGAACCAATTAGTTGGTTTACTACAGGATGTTGCTGAGCTTACTGGAGGAGTTTGAGTGGGAAGAGCTTAGATGGCACAAGCAAGACCCTGCACCCATCACATGTAAAATAGATTCCTGCATGTAGAGTTGCAGACACCAGCACATCACACCATATTATACCATAGGTGGTTTACTTCTAAATACAGTTAAAAATTCTTGTCCTTTCATGATATTGAAAGGGCAAGAATCCCTTTTAAAGGAAAGAACTTTCAAAGTACATTAGGTAACATAAACTGTATTGCTGCTGTGACAATATTGTGTGAGACCTAGCCTAGCAGCGAGTCCTTCTAACAATGATGTCGATAATTGGTACAATTATTGTAACTATTCAAAGTCTGTAAGCATCTCGGGTACTTCGGCGTCTTCAAATTGGACACTAATAGAATTGCGGCAGTGGCGTGGCTGAGGCGCGGCAGCCGCGCGTTTATAGCGCTTCAGTAATTTTTAGCTTTGTAATTGTAACTGCAAAAGTAGCCCACATATGTCATGACTGCACTTTTAAATATTGTGTGAAAATTAGTAGTGGCACAGCTGCAGTGCGACTGCAGCCCTTCTTTAACTCTTACTTTGCGGAAGTTAATTGGCTGTCCATAAGAACCGGAAATAGGTCTGTCTCGGATCCATGAACAAAGCAAATTAAGAGTTAAGCATCTAATTTGATGGAACCCTACATACATTTTGCCAGTTATCTTATTGCTACCTTACAATAACACTAGCACATCTGAACAAAATTTGGAATTATGTTTATTGTATCTTGCTTTTATTGTCCTATCCAGCTGCATTGGTTGAAGGCTTGAAGGTGGCAATTGCAATGGTATTATTGGACCATTGAGGAAAATCCAAATTGAAAATATACTAAGTTGTTAATAACACTAATTTTAAGTTATATTGTTACTAACGCTATGGATTCAAGTATCTGCAGTAAATGATTATTATTGTATGAGATGAATGAATTTCAATAGGTAATAGTTTATAATGTAATTATATAAGCACAAAAATGACTTATTCATTTACTATGCAATGGAAATGTAGGTGGCTTGGACAGAAAGAAATATAATTTTAGTAACTGTTTTTTATGGTTGTTTCGGATAGATTAAGACTTAAATAACGCTCTTTATTCTTCTTAATTTTCTGTAAATTTTGCCTCTCCAGTTTAAAATCGAAGGCGGCGCTCTGCTTGAATTAACAAACATTCTTGGAGTCCCAAATTAACCATTTTGCTTCTCTCTTAATTACGTAGTACACAAACTTACCGCTATTTCTCTACACGCAGACATGGAAAGTCCAGTGCCCTCAATTTGCTTTAAAGCATAATCCTTAGTATCCGACCCATCTTTCCTCCTAGCTTTATACACATGGCCGTACGTGCCCCGGCCAACCTTACAACCTTCGTAATCAAATAAATCCTCGACTTTAGACCTCTCATTCTGTGTTTTTACTTTAAAATCATAGTCCATCATAACCGGTGCCATAGTTTTGTTTTGGAAATTGTCACCCATTTCTGACGTTTATAAGTTATGTGAATAGGTCTCGATGTTATGTGATATTCTCAATATTCCGTGGAGTTCAAATTAAGGAAATCTTTAACATCAACTGTACAGACTTGTAATCGTATTCTGTGGTTTCTTCTCATTAACTCTGCTGGATATAAAACTACGATTTCAGTTAATTCCAATTTATGCTGACAGGCGACAGTAAGCAGGCAACCACAGAGACAGACCAAACCAAATGTCAAAATCACATTTATTCACATGTCAATGTCACACACTTTTGTAAAAATTTTAAATAGTGGAAATTTTTCGGGTTAAATTCTCGAAATATTGAAAAAAATTGGAAAAATATCTTATATTATGTACTACGTTCAGAAATATTTATATATAAAGTTTTACTGAATTATAAAATAAACTTGTGTAGTTTTAAGAAAAACGAGATATGTACATTTATTCGCTATTGTGAAATATTTTTTTTAAAATGATTTTACAACAGCGAAAAACCCTCCTTCAACCATACCACCACCACTTGTTGACTGTTGTTGGCTTCATCGTTTTCGTTCAGTAACTTAAGCTTTTGACAGATGTCAATGTCAAAAGAAAAATTAAAGGAAAATATTGGAAAAAAATTCTCATCGTACCATATCGTACTCAATCTTACAGGATTATCATCCTCTAAGGCTAAGAGCTTATGGAGCGGTTTTCACCCGCGTCCGCCGCCGTTGCGGGACCGCGGCCTTCGAAGAAAATAGAAATGTATGCAAAATTTAGTAGCACATTTCACGACGCGTTTTACGCCCGCAGCGGAGACGGTTGCTCGCGGACGCGGTCACCCGCGCGCTTGGAGGGCGTCGCCCGCGCACTCTGCGGTCGGTTCGGTCTTTCCTTCCCACGCCATTTTGTGATTGATTTTCAATTTGGCAGCGCGTGTCAATTTCTTAAGTTATGGTTGTTGAAGGCCATCAATTAATTTCCTGCCAGTTACCATTTTTCTTAAAAGTTCTGAATAAGTAGATGTGAAAAAAGTTTTGACATAATAGTATGATGAGTATGACCAAAAATAGAAAAATGAGGACAGTTGGCATTTAAGATGACGTTACGTATTTTCGATTCCTGTGTTTGACATAAATCAATGTAGTGCTATCTCTTTTGGGTTACGACGGCACGCAGTAGTTAAACAAAGACAATAAAATGTTTATGTTTTCACCGTCTATATATGTATATCACATACATACTTATAACGTCTGATTTATAATACAACATGTCCTTTGGTTTCCATTAGTCTAAAGACTTTTTATTTTTTTCATCCTCTAACATTGACTTACAATTATATGGACGTCGGGTCCGCGCTAAAAAGTGTCCGCACTTGTAAGGCGCTAAAATCGTATACAGAGCGCCAAACTCCGCTTTAGTCTTCATTTGTTCGACTGAGAGCGCGATACTACGATGACATTACAATTTAAATTTCGAATAGGTTGACTTGGGACATTTTTTTCGTGGTTTTTGTATTAGACCCGTCGTCCATGTATTTGTAAGTCAATGTCCTCTAAGGTATAATCTTAGACTATGGAAACTAATCCTGCATATAATCTTGCGTGTAATACAAGACCCCGGCGGCGGCGGGCGGCTAGGTGTGCCCACACATGACACAAAGAACATCCTTTATTCAATTGACAGTTCTGTTAATTTTACGGAACTTTGGACGGGATCATAGAGAAGCGACTATTGTGTTACGTCCCAGTTACGTTCATGGTATTGTGTTGAGTTCAACTCTAAAGCTTGTTTCACAATGCACAAATTCTGGCATTATATTGCCGCATGTTATCGCGTTGCGCGATGAGACATTAAATTGACCAGCAGGAGCAGTGACTATTACTTAACTGCAGGTCATATCGCGCAACACGTTAAATTGCGGCAATATATTGCCAGAATTTGTGCATTGTGAATCCGCCTTAATATTTTAAAATTTAATGTAATATAATAATAAAATATAAAATAATTAACGCTTCATACGAAAATTCGCAGTTTGCTGAAAAAAGTGACAACTATAAATTAAACTGGATTGCATGCGAAAAACAATTCATTTCCTATGAAATTCTTTCCTAATGGTCTACGAATATATTCCCTCATTTCTTTCAGAAAAAATAATCTTTATTAATTAATAATATAGGTTATTTTTATTATTTTTGGGGAATTCCCAAACATAATGTATGTTTGGGGAAATAACCTACTAATTAAAAATTCCCCGCCAGATTTGAACAGACGACAAGGGTTGCCAACATTTAGAAATGTAAAATACTATACGGTTCCATCCTTAGAGGATGGAAAAAAATAATAGTCTAAGGTTCCATCCCAATAACGTATGACGATGACAATGTCGAAAACTTGTCATTATAGCACTGCGTCGTCGTCGTAGGCTTTGAATCCATGGTCACGACATAAATAAAAAATATCGTAAAGCTGCGAACTACTTAAACTTAAATATACAAAATTGTATATTGGTCAGGCGTTGACCAATATACAATTTTGTATAAGCTTAGTACTTGATACGTCCGTAATTACTTTGTTTCAATTAGATTTCACTAATTTGTTTATGATCTAAGTAATTCTAAACCTTGACACCAGATTTTCCAAAAAAAAAAATTAATCTATTTACACATTTCATTATTGAATGTATACATGGTACACATTGTATTTGAAGACAGTTCAAATCGATCGTGATCACGATCCTTTTATTCGGCCGTCTGGTAATAACAAGTAGTACTAAAATTTAATAAAGTTTGGAAGAGTTTATAGTGAAAAACTGTCCTCTGAAGCCGGTCTCGTTTATGAAACTAGATAGAAACAACTTATACCACCTAATGCAGAACGACTGGTCTTCGTCCACCATAATTTGCCTTGGTGATTCTGGAGAAAGAATGACGGGAAAAAATTAGAAAGATAGTGGATGATAGTGATCTACGCGACTACAGAGCACATTGCAATTGTGTGAACTCTTTAGATAGAAATTATACATTAGAAACATCAAACAAAGAGCACCCCGAACAAGACCAGCAAATGCTTAGATATTTTCCAGCATGGGTAGTCGTTTTATAATACATTTCATAATAGTGGAATTTGTTTTTAATTTAGTTTCCTTTCATTGGCGCACTAGACAAAAACTAATATCACTGAACATTTAACTGGGACGTTGAAATTGAGCATAGCATACCCATGACGTCACACTCTGATATTCAACTTTGTATTTACCACCTGCACACACCGGTTCGGTTTTTTGCTATTATACCAGCTGAAATTGATTATTTTATAATGGCAATTTGTATAATGTATACTCACACCGACACATTTTAGATCTTTCTTGCGATAGTAACAGCGGGTAATAGAAGTAGTGCATTTTATCTTAAACAGCAGCGCAGTTCAGTTCAGAAGAAAATAAATGCATTTAACAATCTTTGAGTTTTTTGGAGCGAAGTCTTATGTTTCGTAATATATTGACTTAAATTTATACTTTAATCTAAAGTGATCGATATTAAAATACATTTTTGATATGTACGAGTGAGTGCTGATAATAAAAATAGTTATTGATGAGTGCGCTGTAAATCAGAGGACCATGGAGTTCCACGCAGGTCCTCAATATGATTACAGTGATGTTGTTGAGACTTTAGCAAGTATGTTCGGGGACGTAGTAAGCGCAGATGTGATATTTAGTGTTGTAGAGAGCTGCGGCGGCGACTGTAAGTACAATAAAAAAATTATAAATCTCCATACCTTTAGTAGACATCTTTGGCTATACCTCTGGTAAATACTAGTGCGCATATTATAACTTAAGTTCGCGCAGCTTGAACTTAGTGATCTGTGAACATAACTGCGCTGTACAGTTTTTTTTAAATATCTAGTTATCGCAAAATTACCTACTTAAAATGTGTATTATTTTGGGTTTCTTGATGTTTAAAACCACTCCTTAGTGCCATGGATTTAATCAAGTAAGTCATTTTAAAGCATACTAAGCGTTACTATTTTAGCTGATAACATGCATCTTTCCATTGTGAGTTTAGTGTATTCTTGTACTTGTGTTTTTATTATATTCTTGTATTTATGTACTTTAACATGTTTATTAAATTTTTGGTATTCTGTGTATTATCTACTTAGTGGCTGTCTAACTATCTTTAGGTATCAATATTGTCTTTTGATGAATTCAAAGTTCTCTTATCTGTACTGTGTTATCTCCTCATATTAGGTAATTAATTAGTTAAAATTTTAATAATGTGCAAATATTGTGTACATCTATAGTACAGGGGCCTTACAATGAACTCTTATTGCCACTCGACTTTCAACCTATACAAATCAGTATACTCCATCCTATTCAAACCATGACATCTTCAAAACGATTATGTCAACAGCAGTTACGCCAACCCCAAACAACTTCCTAAATTGAGCTGCAACTCCTTTGAAATCTATATCATTCATACATTTTTCGTACCATGCCGTGCTATTTGACATTAGTTGACCCAAATTTGGTTCGCTCTAATGTCGTAAAATTCGGTTCAAAGAAAGTTATTTATTTGATAACTTAAATTGAGATGTTTTGCTATTTTATCATAATTATATATAATTTGTCATTTACTTTGAGGATTTATATAATTGTGTATCAAATTAAACGTGTTATAAATTGTTGATAAAAGGTAAATACTCATTAGATTATTATATACTATGTAACTAACCTTAATTATAGTTAGTATATATGTACATAATATAGTAAATCATTGTACTTTTAGATGTGCGATGATGAATTAATAGAATTCCTAGAGTCAGACAAACTGGAAACAAATTTTGATTATTGCCAAAAACGATGCAATGAAAAATTCAATTCAACCCTTTGGGATTGTATGATTCAGTTTTGATTAAAAAGTATAGATTATCCAAAGCATTGGTAATTACGTGAGGAATTGAGACCGTACTTAAAAATTCCTAAAAAAAAAATAAAAAAAAAAAACAAATTTATTGACTTAACATAATCTAGGTTACATATATCATTGCCGGTGAACTTCTTTTAAGTATGAAAATACCTGTGTCAGAAGCCACCGCTAAAGACTTATCTATTGAAACAAAGGTAAGAAACTACAAAGTATTAACCATCTTGAGAGTCATTTCCAGAAGCTACAAGGCCATCTTCAATACTTACTCTTGTAGAAGTACTTACTTATTGGAGCATCTAGTACCTACCTATAGGTATTCGCCACAAAAGGCCTTCCTCCAAGCTATTAGTTAAAATTTTAAGTATACAATTGTAGTGCATTTTTTGTGTTGCTTT